CTCCGTCTCTCCCCCGCTATTTGCTTGAGGCCTGTGCATGAGCTCCCTCTTTCTCCAAAGTAAATAAATAAATAAATAAATCTTAAGAGTTATTGGTTCAAAAGGTTAGGTCAAACGGCATACTCCAGGGTTAGCAATATTTTAGGATTCCATGCCGAGTGATAATGATAAGCCATCAAGACTTGATCAAAACAAATTTCAAATACATGGTGCTTGCTCTTTAGGAAGTTAGAATTTAAGATAGCGAATTATTAGATCAAGTAGAGGTCGAACAACCTGTTTTATGTGTACTGAACTAAAAGAAAGAATACTACAACTACCCTTTGAACAAGAAAGAAGCAATTTAAACATTTTTTTAAAGCCATCGCTATACCCACTGTGGGGCTCAAACTCATGACCTTGAGATCAAGTCACATGCTCCACCAACTGAGCCGGCCAGGTGCCCCAGAAAAGAAGCAATTCTGACATAAAGATCATGCATAAATTAATGAGAAAATATATAATTCAGCTTAAAAATTACACATGTTCCCTACATGTGAGAAACTATCTTTTGTGACTAGGGAAACAACCAAACCACTCAAATTTAATGTCTTACAGATATAATTTAGATCTGAAACTCTACAGTTTCGGACGCCTACAAGAGCAGTGGAGGTGTGGATACGGAGCTTCATCCTCATCAATTAACTGGTTAATATTTAGCCTACTTTTTTCAGCCCAAGACAGAACAGACTCATGCCTTCAAAGTACACTCAATCCTACCAGGAGAGAAGATTATCACAGACAAAAAACAATCATAGGATATGAAACAGCATATATTTACTTGTTCCTTCTGTGTGCATGTGCATGGATGTTTGTGCACGTCTGTGTGAGTGTGCTCGTGTGTCTGTGTGTGTGACAGATCATATATTCCACTGGTTCTGAAGTATTTTGGTCTCAAGACCCTTTTATATTCTTGGAAATCTCTGATGCTCTCAAAAAAACTATTTTTATGTCGATAATATGCATTGGTATTTATCATATTATGAATTAAAACTAAGAACAATTTAAAGCACGAGAATACACAAGTACACGTTCTGTGAGCTGCCAGTGAAACGATCCCTCATCATGAAGCCTCTGGACAACTCTACTGTTCAGTCATGGGTAAAGGAAAGTAAAAATGAGAACTTGGAGAACCACTGGAATGTGTGTGTGGACACATCCACACAGACACATATACACAAGTTGGTAACATTACACTTGCTTAGCATTCAATGATAAACTCTTAGCTGCTATTTACACTCTAGCTGATTTTTCTGATTCTGTCTCCTTCATCTTTTTGGCTGCGTCTTTTTAGCTTCTGTCCTTGCAATTACTGTTAAAAATTAGATGGCAGAGTCAGTCCTTTAGAAAGGTTCCCAGGTTGGTTGATGATCAAAGGACAATATAAGGGGCGCCTGGGTGGCTCAGTGGGTTAAGCCTCTGCCTTCGGCTCAGGTCATGATCTCAGCGTCCTGGGATCGAGCCCCACATTGGGCTCTCTGCTCAGCAGGGAGCCTGCTTCCTCCTCTCTCTCTGCCTGCCTCTCTGCCTACTTGTGATCTCTCTCTCTCTGTCAAATAAATAAGTAAAATCTTTTTTTTTTTTTTTAAAAGGACATTATAATTTGGTTCCTTATGGTTCCACCTAGAATAAGACTCAGATTCCTCTTATCCTAAATACTTGCCAAGATGGTTGTCAGAAATTAGGGGGAAAAAAGCTTAGAGGACACTGTAACAATATTCGTAATTTAAAAACCACAGGTATAGGTTTAAAACACAATTACAGCTCATTTATTATTTTTGTTTCACTTTATATATTCAGGTCTGTTGTACATGACTCAAGTGGCTTTAAAAAAAAAAAAAAAAGATGCGGAAAGATTCTCCTTTAGCAATTCTCCCCTGCTCTAGTCACTGAATTCACTTTTAGGAAACCCTAAAGACAGCAAAGTGCAGCCGGCTGGACGTGGCCGGCTGGACGTGGCCGGCTGGACTGCACGTGCTTTCCCAGACGTCTTTACCGCCCCTGGAGAGAGGCTGCAGAAACAGCTCTCCCTCTCTGTGCTCAGCATTCTCTCTCCCAAAGAGGACTTGAGTGCAGTTTTTGTTTTATTTCCCCTTCAGCAGCCAGTGCCCTCATTATCTAGAACTCGGTGGAAGGCTTCAGGTCTCCCCTGAGCTGTCCCACCAAACAAGGCCGTACTGAAGGATGAACACTCATGCTTTTTTAACTTGTTATTTGTTTTCTATGTCGTGACTCAACGGACTTGTGAATTACACAGTACAATGAGAGTAAGTGTTTTCTTAATAAACTCAGAAAGCTCCAGGCAGACAGAGAGTACTCTATGTATTACAGTGAGAAGAACACATGATTATTTTTGAGCGCTTATTCAAACCCATCTGATCCCAGTGGGAAAGGACAGTCACGGCTCAGATAGAAGTGACCTCTTATGCTGTCAGGGACCCACTGCTGCATTTTGAACCTTTCCTTCTCCATCTTTTACAAATATGTGGTCTACAGCATGAGTCCAGAACACAGGGTTTTATGTGGCTGTTGGCAGAGACGTTTAATTAAGATTTCTAGCGAGGGGAAAAAAGGGAGAAACATTTTGTTTTCCCAGGTAATGACCAATTTCAAAGAGAATGACAGTGGGAACATGGTTTCAAATACACAGATCACTTACAGTGTTTTGCACTGTGGGAATGACAAGGGAACACGCTCAGTTATGGTTAAAGAAAACACACAGCAGCACTGACTTCTCTCGTCACCACATGGCTAAGTGGCAGGAAGGACCCCGCTGCCATCACCATGGACCCCGCTGCCATCCCCACTACCGAATCAGGGCGACCCACCCTCTGCAATGAACTCTGAGGAAAGACGGCAAAATTCGAGTTCATTAGCCCATCTGAAGTCTGTTGTGATTCGTAAAGTCTCTCACACACAAATGTTAAAATAAGGACTGTCAACGACAGATTCTACGTGGAATTTTCCGTGTATTTCTATGAACCAGATACTTAAAAAAATTCATTTTTACCTAGAGAAAATTTAATCCAAGAACAAGTCAGCAACTTAAAAACTATCAGGTTCAATAGTAGAACTGGTGTGTCTGTTAGGAGTTTAACCTGTCCTTTCATTGCATAATCACTTTCATGACTGGTGGATACCATTAAATATGATCCATTTTCTCAAAGACATAGTGGTTTTCTGGTCTCTGATTACAGGAGAATGCTACTAGCACACCCTCAACACTAAATACATTCAACACATTTTTGTGCAAGAAATGACATAGGAGTGCTATGTAAGCAAATGGTAATTATGTAAAAATAACAAAACATTTATAGAGGAATTGAAGGGATTTTTTTTCTTTTTTTGGAGAGGGAAGGGTAGAGGGAGAGAGAATTTTAAGCAGGCTCCAGCCACAGCACGGAGCCTGATGCACGGCTCGATCTCACAACACTGAGATCATGACCTGACCTGAAATCAAGAGTTGCATGCTTAACGGACTGAGCAGCCTGGGAGTCCCTGAATTCAAGTTCTTAATAAACGCAATCCCCACGGCCACTCAGAGGCCCCAACTGAGGTTTTCAAGGAATGATTAGGAAGAAATATTTTTCTTATAACAAGTTCTGGCTCGGAAAGAAGTGAGCTATTATGCTAATTTTTGGAAAAAGTTGAGAATATTCAGTTAGCAGGAAAATAATCAAAGATACTTTTTTTTTTTTTGGGTAAAAGAGAAGTCCTTTGGAATTACAAACTTAATACCTTAATGGGAATGACAGATCATCACATCACACGCATACACAAAATAAATAAAAGGGAAGAAAAACAGCACGAGTCGGGCTGCGGCTGCACCCAGCCATCTCTGTTTATCAGCGACCGCTATCGGGACTGGGGGCCGTTCCCACAGTCTCGTATCAGCACAGCCATTTAGAAATGAAACAAACCACAGGAAACAAAACAAGTTTGCCGGCTGTCTGGTATGCATCACCACTTCAAACTCCAAACTTAAAAATTCTCTCATGAAGTTCTTAAGTATCAACCCACTGAGAGTTGCTGTCCTTGTTAGAACTCGATGGACTACTTCTGTGGTCTATGACAAGATAATTTTTAGCATCCTCATCCAAGCCATGTTCCAAAATGTAAGGAAGGTCACGGACAGTGGCACTGCCCTGAAGGCACTCCTAATATTCTCCTTCCTGTTATTCTAGAATGTTCATGCCTGTGCCGCTCCCATTCCACTCTGCTGTCATTCTCTGAGGTGAGGTGGGAATAAGCTCTTTATCTGTAAAGTGGATGAAACCATGGCAACACATGAGTGCTGTCCTCCGCTGACCGTGGCTCACAGGACCAGCGCGGCGCACTGAGCTGAGCGGAGCCATTGAAGAGTGTCTCTCCCTGGAACGGAGAACTGGGGCTTCAAGACTGGTCAGGCGGCTAATGATACGACACTCCCAGGGCGAGAGGAAGGCTGGAGTGGCTATTTTAGGTCCAAGTCAACACATAGGGAAATCTGGCCAATCGAGAATAAGAGCTCAAGAGTAAAGCGGAAGCAAAGGAACCAGAGCCTAGAAACTGAAGAGCCTCAAAAAGACAGGATGTTCTTGAATCCAAAGGCTTCTCAAGTTCAGGTTCTGGTTCTCTGTGAAATCCAGCCCCTGTACCTCTGCCCCTCAAGTTCAGTGACAAACCACTACATGTTTTCTGTGAAACCGCTCCTTTTGCTTCCATGTAACTAGTTTGAGTGGGTTTCTTGCCTGAGGTAACAAGGGTCCTAATTATTAACAGTCACTGGCTTAGGGTTGACTTTCTTTAACCACTTGTTAATAATCACTTAAAAGTTTTCCCCTTGATGTGAGACACCATTCCTTTGTCTGCATATTAGAGGCACCAAGATCATAGTCAGACCTTGAGAACAGAGATCATTACTTATGAACCTAACAACGAAAGGGAAACTTGTTACTGACAATGTAAGGTTAACTACTTACGTAATCTGGTAGAGGAACATCGTTGGCACTCAGTGACCCTCTCAAGGACTGTGTGGCTTGTTCCAGAACTTTGTTGTGTTTTTTAGACAGCAAGGAAAACAAACTGAAAGAAACAAAAAACAAAAAAAGAGAGAAATAAGTGTCTCCTTTTCTGGGTTTTATACAGTATTAAAGTTCTGCAGAATGTCATATTCTAAAATACACATGTATGATTTTTTTTCTTCATGCCTGTGTTAATAGCAGGATCAATGATACTATCGATATAACAAAAAAATAAAGTGAGGAGAATGTTTAAATTACAGGGATTCAAAAGAATAAAAAAAAGTTTGACAGCTTAAAATTCTACTGCAAACATAAGAGAATTTTCCAGTATCGAGGAAAGAATAGTGGACAGAGATTCAGACAGACTGAGGGGCACTGGGCTTCCTGAGTCACTCTGAGGGCAAGCTATGACTAGCCCCTTGGACTTGTACCTCAATTTCCTCATCCTTCAAAGAAGCGTGTTGGATTAAATTATTTCTCTAGGATAAGAGAGTCAATCACTTTCTATCACAGCTTTATCTTCTTATTTCTTAAAACAATGACTTTAAATATATGTATTATAAGATTTCCACTTCTGGTCATGATGGACTAACCAAACCCAAATAACCTTCCTGCTATTAATACCTTAAAAAATGGACAAAAGATATGAAATGACTTTTCAGCTGGTGTACAACATCTGCAGTGCAGGACTAGGATCCCTAGAAGAGAGTAACTGCCTAAAGAACGTTCCAGACTGGGACCCAGGGAGTGCACGGCAGCATCATGGTGAGCTGAAAAGCCAGAGGGGTCAGGGCTTGGGGCTGTGTGGCAGGTGGAATTTGCAGGCAGATTATTCGACTGGGGAGAACTCCAAGAGGGAGGTCCAGAAACCTGCTCAAGAGTCTTCTCCACTTGAGGTTCAGTTTTGTTTTACCTTCTAAGGTTAAAAGTAAACCTTACACTTTCTGCTCATACCCACTGCCATGACGCACAGGTAGCTACTACGTACCAGCACTTTATTATTATTATTTTTTTAAAAGATTTTATTTATTTATTTGACAGAGAGAGATCACAAGTAGAGAGGCAGGCAGAGAGAGAGGAAGGGAAGCAGGCTCCCTGCTGAGCAGAGAGCCCGATGCGGGACTCGATCCCAGGACCCCGAGATCATGACCTGAGCCGAAAGCAGTGGCTTAACCCACCGAGCCACCCAGGCGCCCTATGTACCAGCACTTTATTGTCTGTGATCCCAGAAATGTTAAAGGTGGCAAGGCTATACATACACATGCATCTTTTTTATTTCACCCAATGTGTACTGTTCCGTACTTCACACTTTTTTCATTGAACAATATAGTCCTTGATCCATTCAATAAATGTTGAGGGCCAGGAATGGACGTCTAAGCTTATGGATATACTATCATTTATTTATCTTTAGCCCATTATTAATCAATCATTGCAACATTTTCAGTTTTTTTTTTTTTAAACAGCACTGTGATGAACACCCTTGTATATAATTTTTTAGCATATTGAAGTGAGACTATGTACAGGATAAATTCCTTGTAGTATAAAATTGCCAAGTAAAAGAATAACGGAATAGGACAGTGAACTGCATTAGCCGTATACATTTCAAATATACAAATTATTTTGTAAATTATGAAAATAAAAGGCAAAAATTTGTTGGGGTTGTGTACAAAGCGTATTCACATGGAAATGCATAAAGAAAAAAATTACTAAGGTTCTTTTAATTTGTTAGCAGCACCTTTGAGGAATAAAGGGAATTTCAGGAGTTTTTTTGAGACCAAAGGAACTTTGATGGTCAGTTCTTGCACAGGGCATGGCAAGTCTCAGACTTGATGCCCAAGCATGAACTGATGCCCAAACAAAAAGGGAAAGCACTAAAAATGCTTGAAAGAAGTACGCTTCTTGGTATTAGTCAGAAGAAGAGGGGCAAGTGAAGGCAGACAGCGGCCTTTGTTGAGTTTACAAAATACCAGCAACCTGGGGTTCTGTCTGTGTCCTCCCAGCGTCCCTTCAGAGGATAGCAGAGGTAATCCATGGTACCTTCCATCAAAATTGAAGAGAATTCTTAAACAAGTTGTAGGAATCAAAGCAAAAAGGATCTGAAATTGTTTCCTTAGGAGAAGAAAGGCTAGTTTTGTTTATTTTCAAAGAGAATACTAACAATCCGCTTTCCTTGTTAGAAGAAGACAAAACAAGGAAGTAAGATTCAGTTCTAACGTAAGCTCTTTCATTTGGGTATAAGAGAAAATCTGACTGGTGAGGGCCGAAAATGTTGACTGGTCCACCTCAAGGAGCTGTGGCTACTGCTCCCAGCTGTTCCTAAGAAAGCTGGTGTAGGAACAGCTGATTTGAGGCCACTTCAAGTTTACTATCATGAATAAGAAACAGCATTCACACTTGACTTCAAGCTGTTATTCTCCTACAACTTAATAAGCTTTTCCCTCAGGTCTTAAAGTTAAAGAGCTTTCATTTTTTTTTTTTTTTTAACATTCTAATTCTGGCTCGCATTTAACTTTTTTTTTTTTTTTTAAAGATTTTATTTATTTATTTGTCAGAGAGAGAGCACAAGCAGGCAGAGCGGCAGGCAGAGGCAGAGAGAGAAGCAGGCTCCTGGCTGAGCAAGGAGCCCTATGCGGGACTCGATCCCAGGAACCTGAGATCATGACCTGAGCCGAAGGCAGCGGCTTGACCCACTGAGCCACCCAGGTGTCCCCACATTTAACTTTTTAAGGCAAAAGGACCTAAATGTATATGAGATGTGGCTTGTAAATTGCTGAGAAAAGTAACTTATGGTGAAAACTTTGCAATCAAACTACGCGCCCCCTAGCTTACTGCCAGTTAGAGCGAATGGTAGAGATGTATGGTGTTTGCGAGTCAAGGGGTAATTCTGAGCGAAACTGGCTTTCAGGTGTACTATTCACTCAGGATATCGCTGCCAGAGTCCTTGTTTTTAATCTTAGAAAAAGACTAGATTTTTCTTTTATACAAGTATGTTCACTACAAATTGGTTTAACAATGAAAAACTGAAAATCAGAACGCTGACGAACAGCATGGGTTAATACTGTGGGAGAGTCCTGTAAGGAAACCTACAGAGCAATGGAAAGTTATCTGAGGCTCCATGCAACAATACGGATAAAGCTCCAAAACAAGGGTATTTTACATGCAAGGATTCTAGTGGAGGAATGTGGCCAAAGTAGTATTATTTACATAGTGTATTAAAAATGCAAAAATGATATTATCGATCTTCTACAGATAAAACATGAAATAATAAACCATATGGAAATGATAAATACTATATTGAAGACAGCCATTCTTCACTGAGAAAGGGAAGGAAATGGGATCAGAGAGGAAAAAAAATAAGGGATTTAGCTCTCTCTGAATCTTTCTCTCGTTCTCTCTTTAAAATGTTTTTGTTATGCTGGATATATATACATAGGGGATCGCTGTATTACTCTATCTCTTTGATATATGCCTGAAATATTATATACATTTAAAAAAAATGGAATAAAAAGAATACACCATCCTGAAGAAAACAGAGCCCCTGCGAACAGCCAGCATTTCAGAACAGAAAGGAGCATGTGGATAGACTCTGCATGGTTAGTTCTACATGAGATATGCTCAGAAAACCACCAGCTGCTTTTGGAAAGGGCTGCCGTTCAGGGCTCACAGGCAGCGGCAGGAGACGAGGCCAGAACAGAGGTGGTTTAGGACGGACTGTGAAGGACCACTTAGGGCACAGTGCAAGCCCTGGACTTGACTCAACATGGAGAAGCAGCTAAAGGAACATTAGTCTTACAAAATGACAAGAGAGACACGTTCCTTGCTCCCAAGGAGCTGAAATCTAAGGTGGTAAGAAAAAGAAAAAGCCTGTAATTCTGAAATCGGAGGACACCGTGGGTCTCCAGAGTGTGCTGAGGGAACACAGAGGAAGGCTAGGTACCTGTCACAGGAAATCTTCCCTGTGGCCTCGGAGGTCAGGGGCTTGCTGGTGGGGAGACGTACGGGGGAGGGAGAGTATGGAACTCAGAAGGGGAAATGGTGTGCCCAGAGGCTCAGAGAGGCTCAAGCGAAGGAGTCCCATGGCGGAATGATGCGAGTGGAGACGTACGGGGGAGGGAGAGTATGGAACTCAGAAGGGGAAATGGTGTGCCCAGAGGCTCAGAGAGGCTCAAGCGAAGGAGTCCCATGGCGGAATGATGCGAGTCCACGGGGTGAGGGCGGCGAGAGAGGAAGCACAGCAAGACAGCGACGCGCCTGTTACAAAAACCATGCTATGAAGTTTGAATCTCCACTCATGTCACTGAGGCAGGCAGTAAGTCAAACATTTACCAAGAACCTGCGGTGTGCGGGGCAATGTGCAAAACGCCCGGGAGACAGTGACAAGCAAGGGCAACGCGGTCTTTGCCCTGCCCTCCTGGAGGGGTGGCTGCTTGGGGAGGACAAACCTACACAGAAGGTTCTACCGTCCGAGCAGTGAGAGCCGGTGGGACACAGATGAGGCTGCCTAGCTGCCCCTGGAGACAGGAACAGGAAGGCATGGCTGGAGGGGACGCCCGAGCTGGATCTGAGGGAACCGTCAGGAGTGAGCCAAGCAAGTGAGGCAAAGGTAGAGGTCGTCTGCGCAGAGAAAGGCGCACAAGGGAGGACAGAGACATCTGAGCACTGTTGGCGTAGGCAACAGGATGGCACGCGTGTTCACCAAATGTTACATTTGTGGCGGAGCACACCATCAATGCTGGGCCAGCAATGGGGACAGTTTATGAAGTGTCTCTCATGTCTCGCTTAGATCTTGGACTTTATCATGAAAGCAGAGGTTTTTGTTGTGGTGGTGGTTGTTTTTTTGTTTTGTGGCTTTTTTTTTGTTTTTTTTTTTTTAAAGATTTTATTTATTTATTTGACAGACAGAGATCACAAGTAGGCAGAGAGGCAGGCAGAGAGAGAGGAAAGGAAGCAGGCTCCCTGCTGAGCAGAGAGCCCGACGCGGGACTCGATCCCAGGACCCTGAGATCATGACCTGAGCCGAAGGCAGCGGCTTAACCCACTGAGCCACCCAGGCACCCTTTG